TTATGTATTTCTTTATTTTGATTTGTCGATCGCTTACAAGGTAATAGGTTTAAGAATAAACATGAGTATGAATACAGGAAATAGGTACGAATCAATGGGGACAATAGGACAGGCAAATGCCACCTCTGACTGACCTTGCCCCATCTATTCTCTGCCTCCCGAGTCCCAGCTGATTGGCTGTGTCTTTTTTTGTTGCTCTTCACAGGAGAATGGAGCTGGAAAGCAGGTTAGTGTGTGTGTGTGTGTGTGTGTGTGTGTGTGTGAATCCCACCACTGGGTGGTGTTTGGGGATTGTTGTGTGTGTGTGCATGTTGGGTCTGGTCTCTGGGTGTTATGTGAATTTCATTGTGTGTATACTGTGTATATACATACAATGACAATAAAGAATTCAATTTCAATTTCAACACCATCAGTGCTAGAAGGAAGTGGGATATGTGGAGAGGAGGAGGAGGAGGAGGAGGAGGAGGAGGAAGAGGAGGAGGAGGTTCCTTGGTGTTTCCTGAGCTTGATGGTTTTCTTGCAGACATCTCATGACACCAATGACAATAAAACATTTGCAAGCAAACCATCAAGCCCAGAGAGCATTTATTTCTTCATTTATTAAATTTATATGCTGCCTGCCTCAAGGACATCACTAACTGTTGTGGTTAGCTGGCAGCAGGTGAGGACGGCTGAGGAGAGCAAGGACTCAGGTGAGGGGCCAGGACCATCAGGGAGAGGACTGCTGCCTTCAGAGTTTGTGGGGGCTGGCAGCAGCGATGAGGAGGTTCCCGAGGAGCCTGTGCCAAGTGCGCATGCACACAGGATTGCTCACAGGAAAGAGCAGCTGCAACAGCACAGGTGACTTGGGAGTAAGTCTGCAAGGTAATGGCCCCTCCTTCAAGAAGATAAAAGCCAGCTGTGAAACAAACGTTTTTTGCAGGAAGCAAAGACGTTTTGAAACTCAGCCTTGGGGACATTGCAGTATCTTAGTTGGTATTTGAAGACTCTTGTGTTGTAAAATATTTTTAGGTAACTTTATTTTTGGCGAGGCTCATGCTTATCAAAGTTAATTACTTTGCAGCAACCTTTTAACCGGGGATTCGTAAGAATCATTAAAAGGTTTCTTTTCCCTTTGGTTCGTGTTTGTTTTATTGGAAAAGGGTTTGGGTCAGAAGACTAACTTCTCATCTGGATCTTCCACAACGATCGGCCTCAACATTACATCTCCACAATCTCAAAGTCTTAACTTCATGACCAGGACTGCCAGAGACAGAAAGCAAACAGAGTCTTTGGGCAATATAAGAAAACTGGTGTGTTCACGATACTCTGACATAAGCTTTGATGAACTAAAGATCAAAATCATCCTTTGGCAGGTGCCGTGAATACAGCCGCAAACGCTAAGGGCCAAACTAACACCAAATGGGAAAGGTACACTCTGTGATAATACTACATGAAGTTCAGTTTACCCCAAATAAGCACGGACGTTGTTCACTACAGCAGGTGCTAGCTAATAATGTCCCATTCCCAGCTTGGATATCTTAATTGATTCTTAGAGAAGAAGAGGGAATATATTTGCCTCGGATTAAAGCTTCAGCAAATAAAAGCCAATTCTTTGATAATGGCTCCGGGAGATTTTTGAAAGATACGAGCAAGGGGACACTTTGAAAACTGATAAGAGAATCTGGACGGTGTCTCTTTGGTGAGTTAGGAACTGGAGAAGGAATCAATTTCCTGAAAAATGCGATGTTCATTGTCAGGTTTAACGTTAAATATCAGCAAGGATAAAGAGAAAACGAGCAAACTCTGATTAAAATGATAAAAAAGCCATAAAGATATAAACTTATGAATGGTTGTTGATTTATTTAAATTAAGAGTAGCTGCTTATCTTGTTGGCTTTTGTAGCTTATATCTATATTTCCTTTATTCCAATGCCTTTAATAGCCTGACGATCTGTCAGAAAATATCCTGTTTTAATTATTGCCTCCTCTGGATTGGAAATTTCAGCATCTGATTTTTAGAGATCTGGCTATCGATAGTCCCTAGAAGATGCCAGCTGTTTCTTTTTGTGAACATCTGGCACTCCTGCAATTTTATTTTTTTATATATAATACATTTTATTAAGTTTTGCCCTTTAGAGTACAGGCTGCAGAAGGGAGGAAGGAAGGAAAGAAGGAAGAAAGGAAGGATGGAAAGAAGGAAGGAAGGAAGGAAGGAAGGAAGGAAGGAAGGAAGGAAGGAAGGAAGGAAGGAAGGAAGGAATCTGTTATATATTTGCATACTTACCTATGATAGGTTGGTCCATGGTGGCGGGAGATTTGAAGAGCCATCATTGGCCACGAGCCGCGAGCAGCCGGCTATAAAAAAGGCTGCCGCAGTTTCTCTGCATGCGATTACTAGAAAGAAAATAAAAAGGGAAAAAGTCAACTGGGTCTCGAGTCTCTTTTCCCACAACGCCACAGAATCTCTACAAAACTTCTTAAATAAACTAAGTTTCCTAAAGCTCCCTTTTTACAGATAAGTTACTTTTGCAAGCCAAACAAACTTTGGCATTGCTTCAATATCATTAAATATGATGGGGATGAACCCAATGGAACAATTTGCATTTTCTCTAATGTTTTCCTCCACTGCACGGTAGCTTGTTTGTTTTTTGCATTTTCCATCCTGCTCGTAACACGACAAACACGGAATATGTGAAAACATTTCCTCCCCCATCACCCACCTACTCCTGGTTTGCTACCTGGAAGCGAGACCCTGCCCTTTTCTGGATGACATCCAAAGCTGGGGTGAGCCTCTCAAGAGATGCCCTCCACCCCTGCTTGCACCCTCCCCAGGGGGATGACGTGAGAACATCCCCCTCCACCCCTCTTCTGACTACTTTTGCACTCGGCTCAGGCCACCCACTCGAAGCCTTGATAAGGCAAGGGCATCAGCCTGGAAGCCTCTGGGTGACTTACCTTTTGAACAGGTAAAACGTCCCTCTGCTTTTCCAGCTCCTGAGACCGGCTGAAGGTAGGATTCTCTGACTTTTTCGTGAGCGCGTTCCTGTTTGGCTGTGGGGTTGGTTCTCCTTCTAGCTCTCGGTTCAAGACTGCTTTTGGGGGGACAGGTCTGTTCCAAGGCTGTGAGAACAGTTGCAGGAACTGGGTACGTCTAATCTAACAGAGAGAAGGACTAGGGGTGACGCGACAGCTGTCTTCCAATATTGGAGGGGCTGTCACAGAGAGGAAGAGGTTGAGATGTTCTCCAAAGCACCAAAAGGCAAGAGAGGATGCAACGGAGGAAAACTAATCAGAAGAGAAGCAACCTAGAACTAAGGAGAAATTTCTTGATGGTGAGGACAATCAACCAGTGGAACACCAGAAGTTGTGGGTTCTCCATCACTGTAGGTTTTTAAGAAGAGACCAAACAGCCATTTGTCCAGATGGGATAAGGTCTCCAGCTTGAGCAGGGGGTTGGACTAGAAGACCTCAAAGGTCCCTTTTGACTCTGTTATTCGGAGATGTTTCCAGGATAGTGTGAAATTGCTTTCGGGGAGCTGAGCGGTAGCTGCTTCGTCTGGCAGTGTTATGAATCTGTACGTACACAACTACTGTATGTCTCTTGTGAAGTTGAATCTCTTGTTTTTCAAACCGCTATCAAGCTATGTTGTTTTTTTTAAATTCCCTGTTCATTTGGCAATTTGCTTTTCGTCGAGTCGAGCAGGGTTAAAAAAAAGAAAGAGGAAAAACTTGGGGAAAAGCGCTAGAAGCAATTTTGAAGTGGGTGTCGAACAAAAAAAAAAAACCCATCATCCCGTTTTCAGTTTACCTAAGGAAACGTTTCAGATGGCACCGTATCGATTGTCTGGTGGATGAATTATAGATCCTTCTCCAAACATTGTAGGAAGCCCAGGAGTGGTTTGATTGTGTACATGGGATTTATGGATTAAAATGTTGGAGAAAGGGCAACCCAAGTAGATGGCTAAACAAGCCATGTTGTATGAAGCTAACCATCATCTCTTGCAAATGAAAACAAACAAACAAAGGAATAGGAATCATATATAGGAATAGATGTAAGAGGAAGATATTTAATATATTGAATGACTCCTCTCATCCGGGACATCAGCTCTTTGAACTATTACCATCGAGAAGGAGATTCAGGGTATTAAGAACAAGGACGACTAGATTTAAGAACAGTTTTTATCCAAGTTCAGTTTTGAGTTTGAATGCAGGGTCATAAGATTTTTGTGGAATTTAATGGCTGAGAGTAATGGGGTATTTACATTTTTAAATTGTATAGAGATTATTGTATGGTCTGTTGTGTTTAATTTTATTTTTCTTTCAATGGTGTTGTCCAGTTTTACTTGTGGAAGAGCACCTCATTTCATTGCACCCGCTTGCGAGTGTAATGACAAATAAATTCTTATGTCTTATGTCTTAAAAACTCCAGAGCCAGTGGAACTTTTAGACCTGATCTTTTAATTGAAGAAATTGAAATGTCCCTCCTGTGAAATTCAATGAAACTTCCCTATCTCGCAAGACAAGGTAACCTGCGGGAATGAAAAACAAGGGTGGGATTCAAATTTCTTCACAACCGGTTCTGTGGGCGTGGCCTAATTTGTGGGTGTGGCTTGGTGCTGATGTGACTGGCTGGGCATGGCTTGTGTTAGGCACCCAGAAATTATCCTATCAGCTCTGAGATTCAGCTGCCAGCCTGTATGTCAATATTATAAATATTGATGTAAATATTGATTTGTTTTTATAAAAAAAGAGCAACTTTTACCCCAAATCAGGCAAAGCAGGCAGGTAGTTGAACCGGCCAGCTGGCCCTGCCCCCCACTCCTCTCCCCCCCACCCCCAGGAGCCTCTACATGGCCCATTTTGCAGGGTCCGCATGGGGTCTCTGGGAGGGGGAAAAATGGGCCTTCTGGAAGTCCAGAAACAGGCCAGCTTCTGGACGGCCTCCAGAGCCCGGGGGGACGCTGTTTTCACCCTCCCGGAGGTCTGAGGGAAGCCTCCGGACTCTGGGGAAGGCGGAAAATGGCCCTCCAGGAAGTTCCGGCAGTCCACACCCACCACGTCCACGTCCACCTAGCAACTGGGCAGCAAACCTGGTTGCTGGTGATTTTTGAATCCCACCCCTGGTTGTGAGTATGAAAAACACTCACAAATCACATTTTTTCCAGTGCCGTTGTAACTTTGAGGGGGTCACTAAGCGAACTGTTGTCAGTCGAGGACTACCTGTGTTACACACAAGATGTCTTATTTCTGGGCAACCTCTGTTTTGGTCCTTTTTCAGGCTGGACAAGTTGATGAACGTGGGCCAGAGATCTTGGTTGAAAAAAAGTGTCTTGAGGTGGGAGCTTAACTGATCTGTAGCCCCCACAATTCCACCCTCCCCAGTATGCAGAAAGCCCTGGCGCTCTTCCTGCTGTTGATTCAGATCTACCAGACAACAGAGGTGAGCAGTTTGAGGATCGGTGCCCAGGGGTGAGATTCAAATTTTTTAACAACCGGTTCCGTGGGCGTGGCCAGATAGGCGTGGCCATGTGACTGGGTGGGTGTTTCTTCTTCTTCTTCTTCTTCTTCTGCAGCAACCCCCTTCCTTCCTCCCTCCTTCCGTCTCTCCCTCCCTCCACCCTTCCTCACTCCTTCCCTCCCTCTTCCGTCCCTCTTTCCATCCATCCTTCTTCCTTCCCTCCTTCCAATCACCCTCCCTTCCTCCCCTCCCTTTCCTTCCTCCATCCCCCCTTCCTTCCTCCCTCATTTTTATTTTTATATTGTTATTATTATGTGTTGTACCTGATGATTCTTGACTCCTGACGAATATATTTTTTCTTTTATGTACATTGAGAGTATTTGCACCAAAGACAAATTCCTTGTGTGTGTCCAAACACACCTGACCAATAAAGAATTCTATTCTATTCTATTCTATTCTATTCTATTCTATTCTATTCTATTCTTTGTTTTCAAACTTCAAAATTTGGGGGGAACGTACCCCTCTTCTCCCTCCTGTGTTTCAGGCTCACCCCACGGGGTCTTCGCTCCAAGAGATGTTGGAAGCCTGGCAAGGATACCAAGAGGCCTGCATTCGAAAGATGACAGAAGAGCCTCAACCAACAGGTGCAGAAACGCTTAGATGCTTTATTTTTTCAGTCTTGTGAATCCATATCCACCTCAGGCTTCTCCCAAATAGAGCATTCTTTAACCTTGGCAATTTCAAGATGTGTGGACTTCAACTCCCAGAATTCCTGAGCCAGCATGGAATTCTGGGAGTTGAAGTCTGCATATCCTAAAGTTGCATGCTGCCTAAGGAAATCTGGGAGTTGAAGTCACATATCTTTACATTGCATGCCAACCAGGGAATTATGACAGTCCACCCCTCTTAAAATTGCATGCTGGCTGGGGAATTCTAGGAGTTGAAGTCCACCTATCTTAAAATTTAATGCTGGCTGGGGAATTATGGGAGTTGAAGTCCACCCATCTTAAACTTGCATGCTGGCTGGGGAATTATGGGAGTTGAAGTCCACCCACCTTAAAGTTCCTAAGGGCAAGAAACACCATATGCTATATACAGTAGTTTCTCCAGCAGCCATTTCAGCCTTTCTGTTCAAAGGATGCTCATGCAGACCAATAGTTTATTTTGCAAGGTGAAATTTTCTTAATGCACATCGCAAACATTGTCCGGCCTGTCCTCAAAGAAAAAACAAACTCTGGTTTGTTTTTGTTTGTTTTGCAGCTGCTTGCATTGTTTGGGAAATGATAAAAGAGGCAGAGATATCATCTGTGTGTAAATAACACAACAAGAAGCGTTTCAGCCCCGGGGGTATATTTGCAATATGCTAATTTATAACGAGCTCACAGCCAACCCAAACGAGGTGTACGCTGCACCAGTGCGGCCAAAACACCAAATTTTGTACTGGTTTTCCAAAAGGCAATTTGGAATATTGACTTGGCATCAACCAAGGACAAACGTCTCACTCTTAACGGAGGTGGTTGTAACAGTGGTGGGATTCAATTTTTTTTACTACCGGTTCTGTTAAGTCCGGTAGATCGGTCCCGAGTAGATTCGGTCGCATTGAGAGGCGAGACTCAAAGTGCACATTCAGCTCTTTATTGAATATACAGTTCGGTTCAAGACCTGCGAGCCGCTTGGCTTTATTCAGCCGGCCGGCGGCTCGGCGGCCAAAGGCAGCGCTTTGAATTTCCCACGATCGGCTCGGCCAATCGCGGTAGATTCTTAGCGCACCAATCACAGGAGTTTAGTTAGCCAATCAAGTTGCGGTCCGTATGGACCAATCAGGATTCAGGGTTTCAAGAATGTTAATATAGAACAGGTTCTGTGGGTGTGGCTTGGTGGGCCTGACAGGGGAAGGAGACTGTAAAATCTACAGTCAGAGGTGGTCTTTGCCGGTTCTCCGAAGTACTCAAAATTTCCGCTACCGGTTCTCCAGAACTGGTCAGAACCTGCTGAATACCACCTCTGGCTTGTAATCTTTAAAAAGGGTGTGGAAAAACTTGCAATGTCTCACAAGCCCAAAAGATGGTGCAATGCACTTTTTGGGCTTGTGGGTGAGTAAATTTCAAAGATTGTTATTGCCATATTTTTGCTCTTTTCCATAACAAGGGGAACAGAATCCGTTATGCAAAAAAACCCAGATATATATTCCTAAGAAACCGGTTTTCGTGGCACAGATGCTATCAAGGAAAAATTGCATCCTTTTTATTGTCAAATGCAAAATTGGGTCACATTTTTCAGCCTGGGATCT